CATCATCACTCATCAAATCACCATCACCAACCAACTCCATCATCACCATCATCACCACACAACCCATCACCAACTCCATCATCACATCACCATCACAACCATCATCACCACACTCCACATCACCATCACCATCATCACAACCACCATCACCAACTCCTCACCACCATCACCATCATCACAACCACCATCACCACTCCATCATCACCATCACCATCACACCATCACCACTCCATCATCATCATCACAACCATCATCACCAACTCCATCATCACCATCATCATCACACCATCATCACCAACTCCATCACCACCATCATCACATCACAACCACCATCACCACTCCTCACCATCTCATCACCATCACAACTACCATCACCAACTCCATCATCACCATCATCATCATCACCACTACCATCACCAACTCCATCACCACCATCACATCATCATCACCATCACCAATCCATCATCACCATCATCACATCAAACCACCATCACCAACTCCATCATCATCATCATCACCATCACAACCATCATCACCAACTCCATCATCACCATCACCATCATCACAACCCCATCACCAACTCCATCATCACCATCACCATCATCACCACCACCATCACCAACTCCATCATCACCATCATCATCATCACAACCAGCACTCCCAACTCCATCACCACCATCATCACCATCACAACACCATCACCAACTCCATCACCATCATCATCACCATCACAACTACCATCACCAACTCCATCACCACCATCATCATCATCACAACCACCATCACCAACTCCATCATCACCATCATCATCATCACAACCACCATCACCAACTCCATCATCACCATCACACCATCACAAGCCCATCACCAACCCCATCATCACCATCATCTCACAAGCACCATCACCAACTCCATCCCCACATCATCACCATCACAACCATCATCACCAACTCCATCATCACCATCATCATCATCATCACAATCACCATCACCAACTCCATCACCACCATCATCACCATCACAACCACCATCACCAACTCCATCATCACCATCACCATCACCAACTCCATCATCACCATCATCATCATCACAACCCCATCACCAACTCCATCACCACCATCATCATCATCACAACCATCATCACCAACTCCATCATCACCATCATCATCACAACTACCATCACCAACTCCATCATCACCATCATCATCACAATCACCATCACCAACTCCATCACCACCATCATCACCATCACAACCACCATCACCAACTCCATCATCACCATCATCATCATCACCACCACCATCACCAACTCCATCACCACCATCATCACAATCATCACAACCACCATCACCAACTCCATCATCACCATCACCATCATCACCATCATCACCATCACAACCACCATCACCAACTCCATCATCACCATCACCAACTCCATCACCACCATCATCATCACCACCACCATCACCAACTCCATCATCACTATCATCATCATCACAACCATCATCACCAACTCCATCACCACCATCATCACCATCACAACCACCATCACCAACTCCATCACCATCATCATCATCACAACTACCATCACCAACTCCATCATCACCATCATCATCACCACTACCATCACCAACTCCATCACCACCATCATCATCATCACAACCACCATCACCAACTCCATCATCATCATCATCACAACCACCATCACCAACTCCATCATCATCATCATCACCATCACAACCATCATCACCAACTCCATCATCACCATCACCATCATCACAACCCCCATCACCAACTCCATCATCACCATCATCATCATCACCACCACCATCACCAACTCCATCACCACCATCATCATCATCACAACCATCATCACCAACTCCATCACCACCATCATCACCATCACAACCACCATCACCAACTCCATCACCATCATCATCACCATCACAACTACCATCACCAACTCCATCACCACCATCATCATCATCACAACCACCATCACCAACTCCATCATCACCATCATCATCATCACAACCACCATCACCAACTCCATCATCACCATCACCATCATCACCACCACCATCACCAACTCCATCATCACCATCATCATCACAAGCACCATCACCAACTCCATCACCACCATCATCACCATCACAACCATCATCACCAACTCCATCACCATCATCATCACCATCACAACTACCATCACCAACTCCATCACCATCATCATCATCATCACAATCACCATCACCAACTCCATCACCACCATCATCACCATCACAACCATCATCACCAACTCCATCATCACCATCACCATCACCAACTCCATCATCACCATCATCATCATCACAACCACCATCACCAACTCCATCACCACCATCATCATCATCACAACCATCATCACCAACTCCATCATCACCATCATCATCACAACTACCATCACCAACTCCATCATCACCATCATCATCACAATCACCATCACCAACTCCATCACCACCATCATCACCATCACAACCACCATCACCAACTCCATCATCACCATCATCATCATCACCACCACCATCACCAACTCCATCACCACCATCATCACAATCATCACAACCACCATCACCAACTCCATCATCACCATCACCATTATCACCATCATCACCATCACAACCACCATCACCAACTCCATCATCACCATCACCAACTCCATCACCACCATCATCATCACCACCACCATCACCAACTCCATCATCACTATCATCATCATCACAACCATCATTACCAACTCCATCACCACCATCATCATCACCACCACCATCACCAACCCCATCACCACCATCATCATCACAACCATCATCACCAACTCCATCACCACCATCATCATCACCACCACCATCACCAACCCCATCACCACCATCATCATCATCACAACCACCATCACCAACTCCATCATCATCATCATCATCACCACCACCATCACCAACTCCATCACCATCATCATCATCATCATCACCACCATCACCAACTCCATCACCACCATCATCATCATCACAACCCCCATCACCAACTCCATCATCACCATCATCATCATCACCACCACCATCACCAACTCCATCACCACCATCATCATCCTCACAATCACCATCACCAACTCCATCATCACCATCATCACCATCACAACCACCATCACCAACTCCATCATCATCATCATCACCATCACAACCATCATCACCAACTCCATCATCACCATCACCATCATCACAACCACCATCACCAACTCCATCACCACCATCACCATCATCACAACCACCATCACCAACTCCATCATCACCATCACCATCATCACCACCACCATCACCAACTCCATCATCACCATCATCATCATCATCACAACCATCATCACCAACTCCATCACCACCATCATCACCATCACAACCCCCATCACCAACTCCATCACCATCATCATCACCATCACAACTACCATCACCAACTCCATCACCACCATCATCATCATCACAACCACCATCACCAACTCCATCATCACCATCATCACCATCACAAGC